CACACACACGAAACACGAATTTAAAGATAAACAAAATCATACACATTTAAAAATGTATAGCCAAATAGGTAATAAAGAAATGTCGTTTTGAAGGTAGAATAAAAATAAGTACCAATTTAAAAGCACAAATTTGCGCCACTTCATAATTTGCGCCCCTGGCGTAGGCACAGTTCGCCATACCCTTGCTACGCCACTGTGCGTGAATAAATACGAACGGAATGAATGCGTGTGGTTACGCCAGAGAATTCGAACGTAACAGCTGAAGGACCACTCGGTGATGCCCGAGAACAATTTCGAGAACTATCGAAGGAATGAGGATGGTGCAGGCTAGTTATGGGGAGGGGGTCTCTGCAGTGGCGTATTTAGGAATTTGTCATGGGGAGGGTCCGGATAATTTTCAGAACACAGAGCCACGGGGGACGAAGCCGCCCCCCACACCACCCATTTACTCTTTATTAAATAAAATATACCATATTTATAAGACGATATAAAATTGTCGAGTTTTTAATTGTTAAATAATAATTATGTACAAAACAAATTTAAAAAAGGTGGGTAAGTGGATGTCGCTCTGCTGTACTGTAGGTTACAAGTGGGTCACTGTATAATGGATGGTATTAAATTTGAATTCAATGATACAATATCATTGTATAAGAAAAACGATTCTGAGCGAAGACGGTATGTCAGTCTAGGTTTAAGACAAATTATATACATATCTATGGTATTAACAAAAAAATTGACCTATAATAAATTCCAAATTAATCATATCACATTATCACAATATCCATTAGGTACTTATAACACGTTATACATCAACATCAATAACAAATCCTGATACTATCATTGATATATAATAGTAAACTTTAGAAGTTTCAAGTAGGTACCCATGAATAATATTATATAATCACAACAAAATAACTAGGTTTGTTAATGTGTAATTTCGTCCAAATTTGAACATAAAATGAATATAAAAATAAACTGTGATTGTATATTTTTTAGATTTTTTGGTAAAAGAATTAACTACTTACGTGGAATCTTGTTTTAAATTTTCAATCCTTAGCTATAAAACTGATTATTTTATAATTTATTAATTACGATGATTAATAATGTTTGAGATTTTGAAAAATTCTGTTAAAATTCGATGTTTAAATGCTTATAAAAAAAACTGTGCCTATGTATTTTTAATATTTTTCAACTGATATTGTAACAATATATCAGGAGCCTTGTATTAAATTTTTACACTTTTTGGCCCAACAGATAAAACTTTATTGATATTCATAGAAAAAAAAACCTAAAAAAATTTAAAAATGAAAATATCCGTAAACAGCTCAAAAAGAGTCAAAATATTTTCAAAATTGTATGGTGTATAGGAAATGCTTATACAAGCATTCAGTGAAATATTCATGTATCTATAGTTATTCGTTTATGAATAACAATAAAATAAGGAAATCGCTACATGAGAAATCGAGTGAACATCCAATGTTGTAAAAATTTGAATTTCAAACGCTCATAAAAATTTAATTTGACTGTCCGGTAGAGATTTTTTTATTGATAAAGGTAGACAAACTTATGAGTAATCTTGTATTACATTTTCAAATCGTAGATTTAAAAAGAAAAATTTTTACGAATACTTAACTCAAAATAATTTGCTAATTTTCGTGATTTGTCAATTTTTGAACTTTAAATGCTTATAAAAAAAAACTGTGACTAACGATTTTTAATATTTTTCATCTGCCTTTGAAACAATATAGTAGGAACCTTGTATTAAATTTTCAAGTATTTCTACTCAACAAACAAAGTTTTATTGATATTTTTAGAAAAAAAACTAAAAAAAAATGGAAAATGAAAATGTCCCTAAACAGTTCATAATAAATCAAAATATTTTGAAAATGTTATCGTGTATAGAAAAGGCAAATATAAACAACCAGTCAAAATTTCATGTTCCTACAGTCATTTGTTTTAAAGTTACACCAAAAACCAAATTTGATTTTGTCAAAAACCTATTTTGCGTAAAAATTCCCGTTTTTCCTTCATTTTTATGTTGTTTTTCCCGGCGCTTGTGAAAACTATTGGGAATTTTAAATGTTGACCTCCCCAATGCACCAACGATATTCACTCTCCAATCGAACAAGATACTGAAGTCGAAAATCAAAGCATTATTTCGACTACTTATCGTGTACACAGACACAAAAAAAAAAACACACATCATTGTAAAATCAATACATTCATCGTTTCACTCAGAATCTAAAAAAGGCGGGTAAGTGGATGTCACTCTGCTGCTGTGCAGTAGGTTACAAGTGGGTCAATGTATAATGGATTGTATTAAACTTGAACTAAATGATATAATATCATTGTATAAGAAAAACGATTCTGATCGGAGACGGTATGTCAGTCTAGGTATAAGACATATTATATACTTATCTATCGTATTAAAAAAAATTTACCTAAAATAGGTACCTTTAATAAATTCCAAATTAATCATATCACAATATCCATTAGGTACCTACTTATAATGAAAACACTGATACTATCATAGTCCATACTCCATAGATATATAATAGTGTACTTTAGAAGTTTCAAGTACCCACGAATAATATTACACAATCACAACAAAATAACTAAAATAGTTATTCTAGGTTTTTTTTTATGTAATTTTGTCCAAAGTTGAACTTAAAATGACTATAAAAATAAACTGTGCTTATGTATTTTTTAGATTTTTTGGTAACAGAATTAACTACTTACGTGGAATCTTGTTTTAAATTTTCAATCCTTAGATATAAAAGTTGAACATTTTATAAATTTTTAACTAGAAAATAATTATTCAATTTTGAATTTGATAAATTTTGTCAAAATTCGATTTTCAAATGCTTATAAAAAAAAATTGTGCCAATGTATTTTTAATATTTTTCAACTGATATTGTAACAATATATCAGGAGCCTTGTATTAAATTTTTACACTTTTTGCCCCAATAGATAAAACTTTATTGATATTTATAGAATAAAAAACTAAAGAAATTGGAAACTGAAAATGTCCGTTAACCCGTTGGTTTAAAAATTATAGAGAATCGACCTATAATAAAATCATGTGGAAAGAAGTAAAGAACATAACCTGTGTTTGTATGAGGGTTTTTAAAAGTAACTTGCTCAACACTGTATTACAGTTGTTCATATTATGATACATGACGTCATGACTCACAATTATGATTTTAAAAGTAGTAATAAGTAAGATATTGATACATATGCAAAATATTGGAACATTTATTTAAAAAGAACATTTTCAAAAAAATATTGAAACATTTCTATGGAACTTAATTAGAAGTTTCAAAAACATCACAGAAATACGTTACGCTGTTGTTTGTAAAATATAAAAAATACTATATTATGTAATATGTGTAGCTGTTATCAGATATTTTGTATTAAGTACCTGAAAAGTGTTATTGAAACACTACATTTATGTTTTTATAAACACTATACCTAGGACGTTAATGGCTACTGATTACTATCAAATAATATTATTATATTCCTGTTATGTTTTCTTTTGTGGCTTTATATTATGTACATTCGGTCAGACCCATCTTCCCACCAATAAAATATATTCATAAATAATTATTATTGCATGCGAAAATATAATATACTATATATTACAATAATTGGAAATACTTAATGCCTTTAATCCTTTAAACACTTTTGTAAATAAATTTTTAGTTCTCAAGAATAAATTATCATTCAAATTGCACACATGCGTATTACTATAAAAAAAACATATACTAGGTATAAAACTTTAAATAAAACAACTGTTTATAAAAAAAAAATATTTTGTTTATTGTAGTAAATTAAATTAAACAATAAAAATAATGAATACATAAGTATTATAGATATAACTTATTACATATAAAAATACATAATAATAATTATAAAACTAATAATTAATTAACCGGTATGCATATGAACATTTACATAAATATTATAGGCTATAGTATTGATTATAAATACTAGTGAAAAAATACTAAAAGTACTAAATTAGTATTTATAATCAATGATTACATTTGTATACAATTTTTTTTATTATACATATTAATAATAGGTACTTTTGAAAATTTAAAAGAAATACATAATATAATTATATATTTTATTTCTATAAATTTAAAAACTATACAGTTATACAAATGGCACTAATTAATCATAAGTAATAACTGGTGATTGACGAGTTACCAGTAAATTTGAGATAGAACATTTTAAACTTAATATTAACTAAGAAACTATTAGATAGTTCATTAATATTAACTATGGCAATGCCTACTTCTATGGATGAATATGGTATTGCAATAAACTCTTTAAAATGTTCCATCTTTTTTACAAGAAAATTAGTATGATGACATAGTTTTTTAAGATAGTTTTTTAAGATTTTAATCATAGATTATTAACAACATCTAAAAAGTTATCATTCAATAATAAATACTAATTATTATTTTTAGATATATAAGTATGTAGTTAATCAGGAATAATTAAAAATTATTTTACCAAAAAGTTTATCAATTACACAATAAAATAGGGAAGATAATATTATATTGTGGGCAGTTTCATTGAATGTGCATTTTAAGAGTCTCATATTACTTTAATAACAATGTTATTTTGAACACTGTTTTTGTTTTACTATTAATCTATTGTAGGTGTTTTGAAGCGGGTATTCTGTTGATTTTAAACAATTTTTTTTTCAGTACATAATCAAATTCTTATTACACAAACAAGTAGTAAATAATGTAAATATTGTTTTTTTAAAACAATTAGAAATTGTTGTAGTTGTCATCACTGATATTATTATTATTATTATTATGTACACACACATGCGCACCGTCAACCGTCATGCATCTCGGCATTCTTTCTGTATCTTTGTATTCGTTGTAAGTTATAAAATATATTAATAAAAACTACATAAAACATGGCGCTGTGGCTAGAACTTGTTTGTCTATTGCTATAATTTGTAAATACACTACAAACTCAAAATGGATTCAAAAATACCAAAAGAAATGAACTTCAGCGGCAATATTGAAGCAAATTGGAAAAGCTGGAAACAACAACTGTCATTATACCTACTAGCAAGTAATAAAAACACGTGTTCGGACGAAACAAAAACGGTGATATTACTCACATTACTTGGAGAAGAAGGCATCAATATTTATAATACATTTACTGAAAAACAAATCTATGACGAGAAGAAAGTCCCAATATTTCAAAAAGTAATTGCGGCATTCGATGAGTACTGCCTAGGAAAAAAAAATATTGTATTTGAAAGATTTAATTTTCTTAAATACAAACGCCAACACGGACAATCACTAGAAAACTTCATCACACAATTAAAATTATTAGCAGCATCGTGTGAATATGGGCAACTCACAGACTCTATCATAAGAGATCAAATTATTATTAATACTTCAGATGTAGTACTCCAAGAACAGTTAATCAATAAGTCTGATTTATCATTAGAAAAAACTATAGAAATCCTTAAACAATCGGAAAATGTCAAACATCAAATTGAAATAATAAACAAAGGGGAAAAAGAAGAGTCAGAATATCCCCATGTCGATGCAATAAAAAGAAAAAACAAATATAATACAAATAAAAATAAAGTTACACAAGCAAACTTCCATTGCAGCAGATGCAGCACACAACATCCAGTAAGAAGCTGTCCGGCCTTTGGGAAACAGTGCAAGAAGTGTGCTAAACCCAACCATTTCGCAAATGTATGCCGATCGAACAAAATGGTTCAAGAAATAGCAGATGAAGAATGTGCAGATGAAGAATGTGCAGCGATCAACAGCTTGTTTGGAGTCAGTGAAATCATTGTGCCCTAGACACATAGCATTCAACAACCATGGTTCGAGGAGATTAAGGTAGAAAATAACTATATTAGATTTAAGCTAGACACCGGTTCTCAAGTTAATTTAATACCTCTGAATGTATATAAAACACTTAATATAAATAAATCCTGGAACAGTACAACTATTAAACTTGAGGCTTATGGTGGATATAAATTCATGCCGTTAGGCTCAATAAAATTAAAGTGTGTAGTTAATAATATTATGGCATGGGTGACATTCTTAATAATAAATAATAGTACCATACCTATACTGAGTCTAGAGGCATGTGAGAAATTTAATCTAATCAAAAGACACGAAAAGTGTATCAGCATGATCACACAGTGCACTAGCCAAAAAGACAACTTTTTGATAGATAATAGTAGTATTTTTAAAGGGATGGGAACATTCCCGGGCGAACATACAATTAAAATAAACCCCAATAGTCAAGGATCTATCTAACCTGCGAGGAGATTACCTCAAACATTATATAAAGATGTACAGGTAGAACTTAATAAATTACTAAAGCATAAAATTATATCTAAAGTTGAGGAACCCAAAGAGTGGGCTAGCAACCTCGTGATAATAAGAAAACCAGATAAAAAATTGAGACTTTGCATAGATCCATCAGAACTTAATAAGTCATTAAAACGAGATAACTATTTGATTCCAACATTTGAAGAAATCCGCTCTAAACTAATAAATAAAAAAATATTCACAGTGTTAGACATTAAAAAGGGATTTTGGCATGTGAAACTTGATAGTAAATCATCAGACCTATGTACATTCAGTACACCGTTTGGCTATTTCAAATTCAACAGACTTCCTTTTGGAATTGCAACAGCCCCCGAAATATTTATAAAGTTAAATCAAAAATATTTTGGGGATATAGATGATGAAAACATCATAATTTACTTTGACGATATATTAATTGCCACTACAGATGAAACATCTCATGACAGAGTATTAAAAAAACTAGTAGATAGGGCTAAAGCGCTAAACATTAAATTTAACAAAGATAAATTACAATTCAAAAAAACAGAAATAAAATATGTGGGCCATATTTTCAATGAACAAGGAGTTTCTCCTGATCCAGACCAAATAAAAGCTATAGTGAGTCTTAAGGAACCTACATCGAGAGTAGAATTACAAAGATTAATAGGTATGTTCAACTACCTTAGAGAATTCATACCAAATATGTCCAAAATTATCAGTCCTCTCAGAGAGTTACTAAAAAAAGACACAATATGGCTATAGGAAAAGAGACATCACTTAGCTCTAAAAGAATTAAAGGAACTTGTAACAACATCACCAATACTAACACACTTTAATCCAGATAAAGAAATAACCATTCAATGTGATGCTTCAAAGGACGGGTTGGGATGTTGTCTTCTCCAGGACAAAAAACCCATAGCTTTTGCTTCACGTTGCATGTCAGAAACCGAAATATCGTATGCACAAATCGAGAAAGAATTTCTTAGCTTAATATTTGCATGTAGAAAATGTCATTACTATATCTTTGGTCGCACAATAAATGCACTAACTGATCATAAGCCTTTAGTGTCAATCATGCAAAAGGATGTAATAAAAATACCATCAAATCGCTTACAGAAAATGAGACTAAAACTATTAGAGTATGACATTAGATTAAAATATCTGCCAGGAAAAAAAATGCATATAGCAGATCTATTATCTAGAGACTACATGCAAGAGACCTTTACAGAGGAATTTGATACTGGGGCTACGGTGCATTGTATAAATAGATTTTACAACAATAATCTTCTTAATATTAAAACAGAATCTGAATTAGACCCAGTTCTTAATAAGATAATCGAGTACTATTACCAAGGTTGGCCAAATAGGAAACACATAGATAAATCAGTGCAGCTATACTATAACTTAAGAAACGAAATAATTATTGAAAATGGTATAATATATGTCGCAGATAAAATAGCGATTCCTACTAAGCTAAAGCCCCTTATACTTAAACTGCTACATGAAAGCCATTTAGGATTAAATAAAACAAAATTAAGAGCAAAACAATTTTTAAAAGTGCATTACCTATTCAGTTCACAAACTTTATGATTTTAAAACCTATACATGTAAAATTGGTGTTTGCTTTGAATCGGATGTAAAACTTAAATTGTCACAGCCATATGTTGTAGTGGTGGACCCTGGTTGCAAGTTTGTGAATGCAATTTTTTCAGGTTCGACGATACAATTTGTTTGCATTAATGAATCCCAAATTATCTGAAAGTTAAACCAAATAGTGAATATATATATATATATATAGCAGAATATAATGGTAAGTTATAAAATATATTATAACATACACTAAATATTATAGTACAGGAGTGGTCGAACCGAGGCTCGCATCTTGTCGTAAAACGCAAAACATTTTTACCAATATAATAATAACTAATAGTCGGGTTTGCCCAACCCCGGCGATAAATTGCTGCCCTAACTGGGTCCTACAGCAGGTGGTATATCGACATCCAGCTGACCCAGGCGGCTGTCCACTGCTGTTCCATGTGCTCCGCCACGGTGTCCATCGTGTTGGTTACGTCCATATCGCTTATTTGTTCTTGAATAGAGGTTATTACATTGTAATATTTATTTATTGTTTTTGTCCAATTAGTAATCAAATCTTTATGCTTACCATTAGATTTAAGCGGATAACATGCTTCATCCTGAATTAAATTTGGTTTAATTACAGGCAAGGTAGTTGCAGTTTCTGGGTATTCTTGTCTAGCCTAAAATAATGAATACAGATTAGATACCTAATCGTTATAGGGTTACTTTGTTTTGTTTTAAATCTACTCAATATGTACACTTACACATTTCATTCTAACAACTTTTGACGGAACTGCATGTCTTAGTAGGTACCTAACAGTATTTTAACATTTTCTTGCAAACAAATTGAACCATTTATTCTTGTATGTATCTTTAAGAGGAAATCTGAAATAAATAGTCAAAGTAAAAGTCTTTCATAATTACTTACTTCTAAACAAAATTGAAAACAAAGACTTAATTTCACAAAACAACATACCCATGAAAAGTTATGTTAGTCGACTTAGCTTTGGCATTGCTCGTTTTTCCACACACTATACAACTCGGAATTTCTAATTACAAAAAAAAAAAATAAGACTAAAAAGTAAAAGCAAGTGGCAAAATAAGAGCATTGAGCATATCACAAGGTTGAAAGTACTCTTATCTGTAGCAGCCGCTCTTATCTATGCACGATCGTGCACGGATTGCTCGTCGACGTGCATAGATAATAAACATTCTTTATTATCCATGTTGATTTGGTAAGTGTAGAAGCCCTGTGGTTTGGGAGGTTGACCGTTGACCAGTTGCGACTACACTTACCCCTGACTTCTCGTCATAGGGGTAACACTAGTTAAATAAAAAGAGACGAGTGTTCGATGTGTGCCGCGAGAGCGTCGAGGTTGATTTGTTAAAAAACAATAATTAAATAATTCAGTTAAAAATATAAAATGTCGTACGCAGTACGATGTACAAAAATTCGCGTGAGTGCGCGAAACGAACGCGGTACGGCCAAGCAGTGGCGTAACTAGAGAGGGGATAGATAGATCTACCCAAAAACTTTTTTTTTACTTTTAACATTTCGATCAAAGTATTGACAATGACCTCGACAATGACCATTCATGTTTGGTAAAAACGTATATCCCCCCCCCCCAACCAAATTCCTAATTACGCCACTACGGCCAAGTCGCGGACTCGGAGCGTCGGCTTTAGCTGCTTCGAGGTGCGTTGCGTTCGAGCGCGGCGCGAAAAGAGGACGAGACACGAGAGTTTGGCGGCCAACGGCGTCGTAGACGAGCGCTTCCGCGCAGTAAGGCATTTGGCTGGCTTATCATAATATAATAACGCTATCATAGAGTTAATCTGCGACAACAGTTAAATTTTTTCTGATCCTATCTAAAAATAATAATTATAATAAAATTGGTTTTTTACGCTTAATTCAAGTATTTGAAAAAATTTCCGGAAACTTCAAAAGTTATGGCAATTCAAAGTTGTCAATATTAAAAAATATAGGTACTTTTGAATGGACGAGCGAGTGACCACGCTGGGAATAAATATACTTAGAAACAATATTGAGGAAAACCGAGGTTTACCTGAGGTAGTTCACACAGCAAATAGGGGGATATTTTCGATTTGCGGAGCGTAGCGACGAGTGCCGATACACGCGTAATCGCTGCAACTTTGATATGCCATAACTTGTGAGAACAGTGAGTTTCCGGAAATTTTTGTAACTGGGAAATGGTGTAGCTGGTGGCATGCAAATTTAAAAAGTTTGAGAACCGCTGGTCTAAAGCCCTGTTCACACGATCAAATAATTTGTCAAATATTTGACATTCGTCAAACTCCAAATATTTTAGAACCATTTCTAAAATATTTGAAGTTTGACATACATCAAATATTTGACAAATTATTTGATCGTGTGAACGGGGCTTAAAGAAACTAAAAATTATACAATACAAACTATTACAAATAATACATTTCTATCTTCTATGTATCAAAATTAGAAAATTCTGAATTTTACATATATTTATATTTTTTTTAATTCTATGTTAACGTTATTATTTGATAAGCCAGCCAAATGCCTTACTGCGGGGAAGCGCTCGTCGTCGTAGTGCGAGCCGTTGCCGCCGAGCGTAGCGGGGGGCAAGCTCGTTAGCTGTACAAAGAACAATAATAACATAGAGGTCGTATAGACAATAATACAAAACGAATAAAATGATTTGAATAGGTACAAAAATAAAGGCGAGCGTAGCGTTATGTCAATGGGCGGTGCGCAAGTGGTGATAAGACACCGGTTACAGTGCCGTCCCGAGGGCAGGGCAAACGGGGCCTGGAGCCTCCAAGGGCCTCGAGCCTCTAAGGGCCTCGCGGATAATATACAATAATATACTATACCTATCGTATAAATAAAATATTTCCAAACATTTTAGCAGCGACTTAAAATTTAAATA